AGGGTGTCTACCGGCAATAGCTATAATAGGTGCAACACCGGAAAGAGGTTTTAAAAAAAAATTATATTGGATAGCACGATGCCTTGCGTGTCCATTTACTGGAATTTTCTACATGTTAGTTATAGAAAATAAAGAAAAATCAATGTTTGCATATTGGTTGCCATCAGAAAGATTTATTACCGATAATGATGAGCAAATATCATATATGCCTTTTGGTTATTATGCTAAAAAGATATTAAAACCTACTAATAATGCAATGAAAGAATGTATAAAAGACTGCGTAGCGGAAGCTAGCATATTAGAAAGACTATCATCATTAGTCTCAGCTTATTATATTATAGTTGGTATAGGATCTGGAGTAGCAAGGATATATACGCCATCCTCATGTACTGACTGGCCGTATGTGTCAGTTTTATTAGCTTGGACATTTGTAGTAATTTATAAAAGATCAATCTGTGGAAAGTTAATGGTGAAAAGTCCTAATGATATGTTGAACGAGTTCGTAAATACTAAAAAGTTAGTATTAGATGAACAAATAATTGTAAAGGATCTTAGTGAAAGAGATCTAATACGCAAACGAACATTGGTTATATTTATTGGTATAACAACAATTATATTTCCTTGGCTATCAGTACTTATGGCCTATAATACTCCTCCTATTGGATATTTTTGCAGAAGTCGATATCTTACTGTAATCTGTTCTGTATGGTCAATTAACAGTACAATTGCATTTATTTCTCATTTAAAAGGGGAATCAAGAATAGATAATAACGAAAGTTTTATTCACAGAATATATGTTATCTGTGGATTTATCATGGCAGGTTTATTATTATTTTTGGCTTTATTATGTGATAATAGGTCATGGTGGGTAGAATTTTTTGGAGAGATTTGTAAATCTAGTGATTGCATTGATGTAACTTGTTAAAAACAATATATCAATAGCTTACATTTCATTATTTTAAAAAAATGCAAATTTCTTATATTTCAATTATGTATTACATTTTAATTTTTACCTTCAGTTTTGTAAATTATTGCTACTTATCGATGAAAAAAAATTGAAATATCTTATTATGCAAGTGTAAAATGAATATTTATTTATGCAATATTAATTTTAATAAAAAATTTTCAAACTGTACAGATTTTGCGGGCTCAACTCTCAACTAACTTTAAAATCGGTTAATTTCCCATAAAATTATACAGAATCTCAACTTAAAAAATTTCGCTAATATTTCGTTGTTAGATTAGTGTCAGTTTGTTATCAGTTTAGGCTAGAAATTTTTGTTAATGTACAAACAACAATTTCATAAATAAAATTTTTGAGTTACATTTTTACATTATACCTGATCTTGCGAAAATAGTAAATTCTTGTGGAGGAAATATATTTCCATAAATATAAGCGTTATTGATTAAAATGTGCCATAGTAAATATTAACCCGTGACAGGGCTGTATTATGATCTGAGCAAAAGAATATTGTGAGATGGCGGAGGCTTAAAGATAGATCTTGTTATTGTCTTGTTATCGTTATTGCATTTACTAATTTTGGTTGGCAGTACTATGTAAACATGTGACGATCCTTTTTAAAATTTGATTTTTTATTTTCTAGTAATGGTTTCTCAACAACTATGTTACATGTCGCTTTATGATATCTCTGGCTTTTAAATTAACATGCGTCGTTTCAAAATGTACATCGATTGAAATGTAACATACGTCAATATTAACTACGCTCAAAATTAACTTTTTAATTATTATAAAACTTTTTTTAATCATATAAATTTAATAAATTATTTTTTTTTAAACATATAAATTGATTTTAGAAAACTTTACCAATTTCTATTTTTTTCTTTTCTTAACATCAATATGTCCTCTAATAACTCATTAGTTTTTTCATTTCTTTCACCTCAAACCTTTGAAAAATTGTAAATGATTATATAAACAATCAAAAAAATGAAAGACATATAATGAATCAGTCGAAATATGATTGTTGCTTAACTCTTTTATGAAATCCTGAAAGTAAACATGAAAATTCAAACTTTAAGTATTGGGCATTGCATACTTTTAAATTAGTTAAAGTTGGTATTGAGAAGAACTAAATCTTAAGTTAGAAAACAATAACCGTGGTACTAAAGTTTCTCCAATTGAGGATTTTTACAATATAATTTGCCAGGCTCATCAAGATACAAAGCATGGAAGTCAAGAAAAACATGGCTAAAATGTATGTTTTTATTAAAATTATTAAAGTTTCCAATAATGAAACAGGTACTGAATCAAACAGATTAGCGCCACGAAACGCCTCCTTTGTACACACAAATAACCTGCAATGATGAGATTGTCATTTGGTGTTAGCTGAAAATTTAACCTATACCATTGTAACAGCCTTTTCGTACTCCCAAAAGACAAATGAACACCAAAAGTTTAGCGTAAGTTTAATTCTCTAAATTTGATTGGTAAGAATAAATTTTCGGAGAATTTTCTGAATTTATGTAACCTGATCTTATCGATCATTATCATTATGAACTCTTTTTTAATTATGACTTTTTTTGTACATCTTTTTTTATTTACAAAAAAAGTGAAATTAAACACAATTTTACAATGACATCTGTGCACAGCTTTATATACAATTCTTTCACAATCGAATGGTTCTCAAACTGTGATACCTTATGATACTATACTACAATATTAATTACCAATCAATTAACTTTTAATATTGTTACAATGTAAATATTTATCATTTGATCTTAATATACTGTACTTTGTATTTTACTTCAATACTTTTGTTTTAGTTTTTTTTTATTGTCCTCGTGATGTAACCATAGTTTTAAGCGCAACAATCTCAAGGGTTGGTAGTCAATGACGATTTGTAAAGCAATAACGCAATTGTATGATAAATTTGTCTCGTATTATATAGTTATTGGATGCTTCGCATCCAATAACGGGAGTTATTTGAAAAATAACTCCATTATCTGGCTGTAAGTCAGATAAATAAGTTATTGATGTGTAACATCCAATAACGGTGTTATCTGATATCTTTCTATGATCGGACAGACAAATAACTCGGTTATTTGGCAGTGTAACGTCATTTCTGCCAAATAGAGTACTCTAGCTAGGGTGGGTGGCATGGCTAAAAAATTTTGCATGCCATTTGCTAAGGCTTGTGCCAGGCATGCCGGGTGGCATGCCTTTAAACCACGTGGTAAATATATTTATTTTGATTGGTCAATTATAATACACATGTTGCATTACCATTCGGAATATTCCGGAACCTCACTCTAATTTTCTTTCAAAATTCGCTTTCTATTCGGAATATTTCTATATATATATGGCATGCCTGTGACCAGCATGACGGAAGTCATATTTTATTGGCTATCACGTTTAATGATTTTCATCAAACATGATTGGCTAAATACGAATGTTACATATAACTTATTATAGCGAGTAAAGATATGTCATATGGTAGCACACTAAAAATCTTATTTTCTGTTGTAAAACTTTACTAGTTCGTTCTTCAATCATAATGCAATAAAAAACTAAAAACACATCTCTATGATCTGGGCTGATCCTGTAACTTTTACAAAGTGCAAAGTTTATAGCAAATAGTATTTTATTATTGCATTTACAATTGCATTGAGCTAACAGTTCCGTTATATGAATATTTTTTATTTAGGTTTCCTACTTACCAATAGTTTATTTGGTTGAGTTCTGCCACCAATTTCGTTGAAATATCTGACATTTCCTCTGTCTCCTCCGAAGGTTCTTCATTTTCTTCTGTTTCAACATCTTCATCAAGATCTTCTTTTGTTAATGTATCCACACCTTTTTCAATTCGGTTTAAAAATGCATTCACGTTTTTGAAAATACCCTTTTTGTAGAATTCTTCACAATAGGTACATTTTTCGTTATAACAAGCATTATGATAGCCATGTCCACATACATATACTACACTGGTATGATCAACAAGTAGAAGTTTGCAATGGTCACATGCTTCAGGATGCGGTGGGTATGATGTACTATATGCTGTTGGCAAACGTCACAAATCTACTTCTTCATCTAACATTGCCAATTTGTATGTTTCAGGGTTTTTTTTTTTTTTTTTGTATTATTAATTTTTGGAACACTTTTACCATGATTGTAATACACATTACGAAAATATTGTAATAAAAAAATACTGGTTTTGTCTGACAAAAAATCAAGCATTGATGTATTATACAGATATTGTCATGTTTTGCAATATGCATTTTTGAATGCAAAATCATGATCCATAACAACGAATGCTTGCTTTATTATATTATTAACTGTTGAATTTGGAGATATATTAGCCCTAATGCGACTATGAGTGTTCTCAACATAATATTCATTAAAACATGATAAATGCTCCTGTATTAAATTAAAAAAAGGATTTCCAGTATCTTTCTAATAGAATAAATCTGATAAAAAAAGCAGTGGTGCTTTATTATAGTTCTTTTTTCCCAGCGTAAGGCAAATGTCCAGACGCGGAAAACTGTTTCTACATATTCATTGAACAAACCTCCCCAAAATAAAATTGCATAAACGTCAAGTGTCGAAGGGACTAAATGATCAAGCAGGTCAATTGCAGTTCTATATTCGACATCCTTACAGGTTTGACCAAATTTATTCATAATTTGGTTCCTAAGCTTAAGCCAACCACTTTGTGCTAATTCCAAAATAAGGTTTATTTGCCAAGAGCGAGATTTTTTTGCCAATTTTTTGTGTTTGCCAAACACAGAATGAAATAGGTTTTCAAAAAAGGAATGATGCACTAATAAAACCTGCTCCCGGCTATTTAGTGACAGGTGAAGTAGGCCCAACATAGGTATGAATGACTCAATATTCGAAAATAACATTCTTGTATATAACGCTTTCCTTATAAAGAGCTGACCGGGCCAGTCAGCAACAACTAGTATAACTTGATTATTCAAATAATGCACATTTTTATTCACTGATAAAATGAGCTTTAAAGCATTAAGATAGTCTTGCACTGAATGTAAATGCTGCTCTTTGATTCCGATTAATTGAAGTCCATTCATTGAACGTTCTTCTTTTCTTTCTATAATATGATCGTCATAATTATGCAATGTTAAATTTTCAATTCGATCAAATTTATTTACAGTTTGTTGTATTTGTATGATCCACTGGCTTTCCAAATATAAAGTATCAAATGTTCCAGTATATTTATTTATTAAATACTAGCAAATTTTTGAAGCATCAAGATTTAACGGGTTATGTATCGACATATTATTGAATTTAACCGGTAATGAATAACAATTAATGGGTTTTGCGACACAGGTAGCAAAGTGATTTGCGGCTAATGTTGATACAGTGTCTGGCCTTCGAATTTCGTGAATAGAATGGTAATCATCTATATTATAGATATGAAAAATGTTTTTCTAAAAAAAATATTAATTTTTTTTTTTTTTTTTTTTTTTTATTTTTTTTTTATTTTTTTTTTTTTTTT